ATTTAAAAAGATTACTGGTGAAATTTATTTTAATTAAAAATAATATATTTTATAATTTTTTTATTTTTTTTAGTTTAAAAAATAACTAACAAAATATATTTCCGGATTTTTTTCACTATTTTACCACTTTATCGTTCAAAATATGAATGTTCATTGGAGTTTTTTCCGGATTTTTTTCACTATTTTACCACTTTATCGTTCAAAATATGAATGTTCATTGAGGTTTTTTCCGGATTTTTTTTCACTATTTTACCACTTTAACTAATTATACAAGTCATAAGAATGTATCCAACATGTTTTATAAAAGTTCAAGAAGTTATTTAACATGTTTTGGATTGTTCAAGGACTTATTTGTTCCAAAAATTGTCCAATGAGTTATTTAACATTTTTTGGAATGTCCAATAACTTATTTGTTCCAAAAATTGTCCAATGAGTTATTTAACATTTTTTGGAATGTCCAATGACTTATTTAACATATTTTGGAATGTCCAATGACTTATTTGTTCCAAAAAATTGTCCAATGACTTATTTAACATGTTTTGGAATGTCCAAGGACTTATTTGTTCCAAAAAAAAAGTCCAATAACTTAATCATTCCAAACAAGAAAATCCATTGGTTTTTATTATACTTTTCCCAAAATAATGATGATTCAAATTAATTGGTGACTGATAAGTTAGTTGATCAACTAATTATGTTTTAAAAACTAGCTGATAAGCTACTTGATGTAAAGTGAGAAAAAAAAGACATATTTAGAATTTAGTAAGTTGTAACATTATATTATATATAATTAAAAAAGTTACTAATAACATTACATGTAAATTAGTACGAGATAGTCAAAAATTAAATAATATAAGATGTTAATTAATATAACTTCGATTTGACTATTATCTATACTACCTTATAAAGCAAAGCAAATCTCTTAGATTCTTAAAAACAACCTTTTAAGCACAATGTACAACTATTTTATGCATTATCTCTTAAAATCTCTTAATTACAAAATTTTATCCTTAAAAGTACAACTTATCAATGTTATACAACACACTCTCTGAGAGCTTATCTTCCTAAAGCAAAGATTCATGCTTTCATCACATACGTGTTAGATCTTAGGGATTAAGAACATCAATTAGAACTAAGATAATTGATTGGATCGTATATGGAACACTTTCCAGAATCTGTAATTCGACCCTACAACCTGGGGTTACACAAATTCAGATTTGAGATAATCCAACAAATCAATCCGGATTTTAGGCAAAATCCAAGATTAGTAAACACATAATACCTTATTGTAGATTATATTTGTAGAGACAAATTTTTGGCAGAGCAATCGTGTATCCTTGTATATCTCCTCTGTAGAAAAACCGAACTCTATATATATACACAGTGAAAAGTCACACCTTTTTCTTTTGGAAGAGGTGTGATGGTAGTTAATTCGGTTAAATGGAAAAGTCACACCTTTTTGGAAGAGGTGTGATGATAGTTAATTCGGTCAAGGGGAAAAGTCACACCTTTTCGGAAGAGGTGTGATGGTAGTTAATGCGATGCCCCTTGGAACCCCTTTGGGGTTGCTACCCCCGTGTTCCCGAGTTCATATTAGTTTATCAGAGTTTACACTCCACACCTCCGAACTCGAATTGTAGCCAATATTGAACTCATATTTGTCTCATAGTAATCATGACTACACTAAATGGCTAGATGACACTAAAATCACCAACAATACCAATGTGACGATTCAGAAAAGCTCTCATCGGTCATCGATATGATGATGATTACAAATTCCTCATTGAATGTGTGTATTATTCACGTTTTCACGCTTCTGTTCGATTCACACTTCTGTCCAGGTAAGTTAATTTTTTTGCTTTACATCTATTCAACTTCATGCTTATAGTATTTACTTCATCATGTGTACAGTGTCACACTTCTATTTTATTCCTGCAGTGATTGTTTGATAAACCCTAAATTTATTGATTCATCTTCACGTTTTTTCTTTTAGATTTCCCATGTTCCCACTAGGTGTTTGAGGAAATGCCTCAAAGGTTTTTTCTTGCTTTCCTTAACCTTGCTTTCTTCTCCTGCTCCCACCAGGTGTTTGAGGAAATGACTCAAAGTCTAAAAGATGTAAAGTTCAAAATTAACTGTCTCAATCTTTGTTCTTGATTTTTTTACGTGCAAGGCATATATATTCAATAAATTTGAGGTAAAAATTATTTGATTCGTAATTCATGAACATGCTTGTTTCTATATTTTTTTCCTCCATCCCCTACAAAAAAAAGTCTACACTTTTTTTCTTACCTTAAATGTGGATGAAAGTAAAAAATGAATGTACATCCCTATTATTATGTTGTACCTGCATAATCGTTACAAACATGTTTAATAACTCAGCCATACCTAATACTCTTGCATATAACTTATAGCTTCATTAGGTTCTTTGTTGTCATGTGATTAAGTTATTTATTTAATTTTCTATAATAATGTTTCCATTTAGGAGTCATCTATTAAAAGCTTATGTGATAAGTACGGTAGGATAAGCATGGCAATGATTGATAATCTTACATGTTAAGAGCAATAACAAATAGCGATAGTCTTACCCGGTAAGTGAGAGTAATGATTCTTACCTGATAAGCGTTTACTTAATAAATTATTGCATACCATGCAATTTTAATGGACTAAATCTTAGCTGGCAAGTTTAGTTAAAGTGTTTGACTCTTATCAATAAGCGTTGAGTAATGGCTCCTTAGTTTAGAAATTGTTATTGACGACAAAAATATACTCTTTGTTTAGAGCATTATTTTTTTATGATTCTCCTGATACTATAGTCTTTGAAACTGCTTTAGGTACAAGTTCTTACCATCTCATTAATATTTTGTGTTTTGGTTAGAAATCTTTCAAATAAGATTGATCTAAGTATTTTAGAAAACCATTCAATTCTTCACCTCCTAGCCGAGTAACAGATTTCTTGCAAGAAAAGGAGATCCAAGTTGGTCTTATAGTCTTGACCACCTAGGAGTTGGACCTATGCTCTACAGATGATGCTTTCTAAGAGATCCAGGTTGGTCTTCTATATCTTAAATTTTTTGAGATCCATGAGATACATTTTAA